TCTCTCTCTTCTCTTCTCTCTCTTCTCTCTCTCTTCTTCTCTCTTCCCTCTCTCTCTCTCTCTCTCTCTCTCTCTCTCTCTCTCTTTCTCTCTTCTCTCTCTCTTCTCTCTCTCTTCTCTCTCTTCTCTCTTCCCTCTCTTCTCTCTTCTGTCTCTCTGGTTTGTTCTTTTGCCCCCGGGTCGTCACGAGTGCCTCTGATTTCATTAGTCTCGTGTTTTAATTTGATCGGAGGTTTTAAACCGCAGCCTCTGGTCCAGCTCCTGTTTCTGCGCCGCCTCTTTCACTTTAAAGCTCCACTGAGGAACTTTTCACTGCAAAAAGCTTCACACAGAAACATTTCAATCCACCAGAAAATAACTACTACTAACATTTGACTTTACTTTAAAATAATCGACCGTCTCAGAAATATAAGTACAAATAAATAAATAAATAAAACAAGATGAAAAACCTGATTTAAATTTTAACATTTTTCCAAGCTGTTTTTCCTTAGAACAAGTGATGAGTGTTTAAGTTTATTAAAGGGAATTGAACTTTTCTGCAGGTGGAAAAGTCCCTGAGCTTCTCCAAAAACGACCCACGAGACTCATTTTCAAAACTTCTATTTGAAATGAAGAAAGTTAATAGTCGATGTTTTTATGACTTTAAACTGAACTGAATCTGACAAAGTTTCTCTGGTACAAATGTGATCAAATCGAACTGTGTCACATGAGGAACCGAGGTCCAAAGAAGAGGCCAAAAAGATCAAACCTGGACTGAGACTCTCCACCGTCCACATGAAAAACTCACAACAGTGGGAGATTTGGGTCAGAAATGTTCATTCTGTCAAATATTCAGGTTCAGTTTGTAAAGATCTGCTTGGAGGAAACAGATCTTGGACCTTAAAAACTGAAAAAAATAAAAATAAAAAATTGAGCGGCAACTAAATGTGATTTTTTGGGGCCACAGCCACAACTTTAATAAAGACACAATATTTGACACAGATTCAGAATCTCTGACCAAGAATCTACAATAAAACACATTTTCATCTTCCTCGCTCCATTCTGATGAAGTTCTGGTCTCAAACATGTTTATAAATTAAAGTTTCAGAAAAAGTGAACATGGCCCCAAAATTTCAACGAACTAAAACTCAGGAACGACTCAAAAGGACTGAGAGAAAATTTGACATTTTTTCATTTGGTCATTTTAGAAATTTTTTTCAGTCAAATCTGAGGTGGATCACGGGGGGGGGGGATCACCACCTGATGATGTCACGGGGTGTAGCAGAGTGTTGGAGGGCTGTTTCTGAGGAGACTCTGCATTAGAACAGTGTTAAAGCTCCACTGCGGGACATTTCTCACGGATCGTTGTCCTGGTGTTCTGCAGGTGCCTTTCGCCAGGAACATTTACGGTCTGATCCTGCCGAACTTCGGCGTGGGATTCGCCATCGGTGAGTTTCAGTTTTTCTTTAAACGAGCCTCAGATCGTTTGAGGAGAATCGACCAGAGTCCAGCTCCAAACGCGGCTCATCGAGGCCAGCGGCCGCAGCGGCGAATCTGACACCGGCGACCGTGGAAACGAGAGCGCGTGATTGGTCTGAGATTAAAACTCAGATCTACATTTAGGGACAAAATATTGAAATAAAAACACAACAGAAACTGGAGAAAATCAGATACACAAAAGACTCAGTTAAAAAAATTACACGATCTGAAATCCATTTTTATCTTATTTCCAAACTGTGGAAGAAAGTGAAATTGTATAATGTAGTTTAATTAATTTATTTGTTTATTTTATTTTATTTATTTATTTTATTATTTTTTGTTTTATTTTGTTTTATTTTATTTTATTTTTTTGTATTATTATTATTATTATTATTTATTATTATTACTAGTATTATTATTTTATTTATTTATTTATTTTACCACTTACTTTATTATATCATTTATTTATTTTTCTAGCAGGTTTATTTTCTTTTCTCATTATTTATCGATTGATTTCGTCAGTGTTTTTTCTTGTCTCTGTTCTTCTCACGTTTGAGGTTCGAGGGAGAAAAATTAAAAAATGATGAAAACCTGTTAAATATTATTGTTAAATATTGTTAAAGAATATTTTTGTGGATAAATAAACGTGAAGCTCCAACTCATGGTCCCCAAAACGAGACTTAAAACCAGGAGGTCAGGACCTTTATTTTATTTACTTATTTATTTATTTATTTATTGTTTTTATCTATTTTATTTTTAGAGCTGCTTTTATGTATTGATTTTATTATTATTATTTTTATAATTTTATTTATTTTTCTATTAGTGTTTTTATTAAACATAATTCTGCTGATTTTTTAAAACAGTTTTGTTTGTAAAATGTTCTCTACAAATAAAGTTGGATTGGATTAAAAAAAAAGAAAAAAAAAGTGGAATAAAAACCCGAGGATCAAGTCGAGACGCTTCACACCGACATTTTAAAACCAAAAAGAGACAGACAGAGACACAGACAGAGACACAGACACAGACACAGACAGACAGACAGAGACACAGACAGAGACACAGACAGAGACACAGACAGAGACACAGACAGAGACACAGACAGACACAGACAGAGACAGAGACAGAGACAGACAGACAGACAGAGACACAGACACAGACAGAGACACAGACACAGACAGACAGAACACAGACAGAGACACAGACACAGACAGACACAGACACAGACAGACACAGACAGAGACACAGACAGAGACAGACAGACACAGACAGAGACACAGACAGAGACACAGACAGAGACACAGACAGAGGTGACGAATCTGTGTGTCGTTCGTTCATTCATTTTTCAATATAAAACCAAAAATAAGAAAATTTAAAAAACAACAGTTTTCTTCATTATTTGTCTCCAAAACCAAAATGAAAAAACAGAAAATGATTCTTTTTTTCAGTTTTCGATTTTGTGTTTAAATGAAAAATGGAAAAAAAACAGATAACGACCGTTTCCTGTTTACGTGACTTTGGCGCCGCGTACGGACTGAACCAGGACTGATCCAGGTCCGGGACCAGACCAAGACCTGAGTGGGACTGAGACCAAGACCAGACTGGAGGCTCAGAGCCCACAGCAGGACCAGAGCTCGAAGCTGAGGCTTGGACCCCACAGAGGCTCAGAGTCAAAGCTTGGAGTCGAGTCTGGTCCCAGTCTGGTCCCGGTCTGGTCCCGGTCTGGTCCCGGTCTGGTCCCGGACCTGGATCAGTCCTGGTTCAGTCACTGAAGTCACGTAAACAGGAAACGTTCGTTATCCGTTTTTTTCCATTTTTCATTTAAACACAAAATCAAAAACTGAAAAAAAGAATCATTTTCTGTTTTTTCATTTTGGTTTTGGAGACAAATAATGAAGAAAACTGTTGTTTTTTGTGTTTTCTTATTTTTGGTTTTATGTTGAAAAATGAATGAACGAACGACACACAGATTGAGGCTTTTTCAGTCTGTGACCTGAGGAACTTTTTCAGTAAATTATGTTTAAAATACAAATCCAGGATCATAAACTGTTGAAGGACTCGACGACGTTTGTGAGAAAAGGACAAAGAAGTGACTTTAAAACATAAAAAGTCTCATCTCTGGACGGGACTTTACCGTTTGGCCTGGAAGTTGGCGTCAGGTGGTTCAAAAGTAAGAGCGCCCCCTGTGTGTTGGAGCCAGAGCAGATGGAGCCTGAAGCGTGGCCGTGTTCACTTCCTGTACAGTCTGTGGTCTGTGATTCGTCTGTAAACTGTCTCTCGTTTGTCTGTTGGACTCTTGTGTCCTCAGGGATGGTGGACTCGTCGATGATGCCGATCATGGGCTACCTGGTCGACCTGAGGCACGTGTCGGTTTACGGGAGCGTTTACGCCATCGCAGACGTGGCCTTCTGCATGGGCTTCGCTCTGGGTCAGAACTCTGAGCTCCACACGCTTCTTCTGCTTCACACGGTTTAGAACCTCCAGGTCCAATGACCAGAACCTGAACCTGAACCTGAACCTGAACCTGAACCTGAACCTGAGCAGAACATGAGGAAACTCATCTGTGGGTCGTTCCTTCAGTCGAGTTTCAATATAAAACCAAACAGAACAAAACGAAAAAACAAACAGTTTTCTTCATTATTTGTCTCCAAAACCAAAATGAAAAAAACAGATCAAATTGTCATGACTTAAACTGCAACGCCGGAATTTTGCACCAAATATGAACCAGGACTAAACCAGGACTAAACCAGGTCTAAACCAGGACTAAACCAGGATTAAACCAGGACTAAACCAGGTCTAAACCAGGACTAAACCAGGACTAAACCAGGACTAAACCAGGACTAAACCAGGAATTTTGGTTTTATATTGAAATAGGAATGAACGAACGACACACGGATTCAAACTTAGAGTGAAGGTTTGGTTCAGTCGGGGTCAGAGGTCAGAGGTCAGAGGTCAGAGGTCAGAGGTCAGAGGGTCAGAGGGTCAGAGGTCAGAGGATCAGGAAAGACACAAGTGATGAAGTTTAGGAACAGGATTATTTTAAAGTTTAGTTTGAGTTTGTTTCAGACAAAAACATGATACAAGACGATGTTTCACAGGACAAATATTTGATCAAGTCTTGTTGAAATTCTCTCTCTCGTTCTTCTCCCTCCTCTCGTTCTCTCTTCTTCTCTCTTCCTCTCGTTCTTCTCGTTCTTCTCATTCTTCTCGTTCTTCTCGTTCTTCTCTCTCGTTCTCTCCTTCTTCTCTCTCTCTTCTTCGTTCTTCTCCTCTCGTTCTTCTTCTCATTCCTCTCGTTCTTCTCCTCCTCTCGTTCTTCTCTTCTCTCTCGTCTCTCTCCTCTCGTTCTTCTCCTTCTTCTCATTCCTCTCGTTCTTCTCGTTCTTCTCCTCCTCGTTCTTCTGTTCTCCTCATTCCTCTCGTTCTTCTCGTTCTTCTCTCCTCTCGTTCTTCTCGTTCTTCTCCTCCTCTCGTTCTTCTCGTTCTCCTCCTCCTCTCGTTCTTCTCGTTCTTCTCCTCCTCTCAGGTCCGTCCATCGGTGGTTCTATCGCTCAGAGCATCGGTTTTCCGTGGCTCATGACGATCATCGGTCTGGTGGACATCGTCTTCGCTCCTCTGTGTCTGTTCCTGCGCAGTCCCCCCGGCAACGAGGAGAAGATCGTAAGAACGTCCCTCCATCATCTCCATCTTCATCTTCATCATCTGTTTCCTCCTCACACACACACACACACACACACACACACACACACACACACACACACACACACACCTGGAGTCGTGTTTGTTTCATTCCGACGTGAAAAGTTTTATTTCCAAACTCGACTGAGCTTCTGGAGGTGGATCAGAGCTTCTGGAGGTGGATCAGAGCTTCTGGAGGTGGATCAGAGCTTCTGGAGGTGGATCAGAGCTTCTGGAGGTGGATCAGAGCTTCTGGAGGTGGATCAGAGCTTCTGGAGGTGGAAGAGCTTCTGGAGTCTTGTAGATGTGACAGATTCATAATAAAATTTTACTCAAACGTGTGAATGAAACAAACACGAGTTCAGTTGTGAGTTTGAGGAGGAAACATCAGAACGACGAGAATCTCACAGGAGTCTGTTTGTGTAGGAGCTTCTGGATCATCCCCAGGATGAACACCTCCCCCTCCTGAACACCTCCCCCTCCTGAACACCTCCCCTCCTGAACACCTCCCCCTCCTGAACACCTCCCCCTCCTGAACACCTCCCCCTCCTCCTCCCTCCTCTGCTCCTCCTTCGCTTCATCGCAGCATGAAAAGTGTGATGTGAAAATGGATCCTGACGGCTTCTGCTGCATGTTCCCGCCTCCTGCACGCATCATCACGCCAAACCCCGCCCCCGTGTGGACTGTATTTGTGTTTCCTGTTAGACTCCTCCCCCTTGTGTTCACCGTTTTCAATCAGTCAAACTTTATTTATAGAGAACGTGACCATATTTGGCGTTTCCTGTTAGGCCCCGCCCCCGTGTCTTGACCGTATTTGGCGTTTCCTTGCAGGCGATTCTGATGGAGTCAAACTGCAACATGAAGACCCGGACGTACTCGACTCAGGACCCGTACCAGAGCCACGACCCGGACCTGGATCTGGACCAGGACTACGACGAGGACTACGATTAACCTCGGACCCTGCGCAGAGATCTATTTTGTTGTAAAAAACTGAACAAACCAAAAAATGTCTAAAAAAAATCGGAGGTTTTTTCTGGTGAATGTCGTGCGTCGTGTCTGTCGTCTCAGAGAGGAGGGGCGGGGGGCGGGGGGGCGCGGGGGGCGGGGGGCGGGGCTGATAAATCCACTTTTGTTCTTGTTCCTCTTCATAAACCTGTGTGAAGAGCATGTTTGAGTCATCTAGAGATCTGATTAGCGCGGAGAGCAATGTCAAAAACAAAAGAGAAACTTAAAAAACATGAAAATCTGTTGTTTTGGGCAAATCTAACATTTTTAAAGATCACGTGATGATCTAAACATCAGTGTAAAACGCCGCAGAAGTGTAATACTCCCTCTTTACGTGAAGCAAAACTGTGACGGAGGAAGTTTAGGTCCAGTTTTGGGGCAGAAAGTCAAATATAAAAACACCAGATTACCACGAGGGGGAGGACGGTACGCTCCGGAGGGACGCTCCGCTCTGATTGGACGATCAGTTTGACGAGGAACAGTCAGGGGGAGGTTCTGGTTCTGGTTCTGGTTCTGGTTCAAGTTGGATTTGTGGTTCAGAAAAGTTCCAAATATCGGTCCAGTCGAGATCCTGTTTGGACGTGAACTGATGAAAACTGTTCAGTGATCGGAGAAAGTTTCACGTCTGAACTTTTACTGAGGTGAAGACAAAAAACCAAAAAACAAAAACCAAACGCAGCTTCAGGTCGTTTAGTCTCGATTTATTTTAGTTTAAAGGAAATTGAAGCTGTTTTCAGTCGGTGGTATCGGCCGATACCAGGAAGTATCGAAATCGGTATCGAAACTGAGAAAGCGGGATCGGTGCGTCCCTCGTCACGGTCAGGTCGAGCTTCAGGTCGTGCTGCAGGTCATGTTTCGTGTTCCGGGTCGTGTTCCAGGTCATGTTCCAGGTCGTGTTTCAGGTCGTGCTTCAGGTCGTGTTTCAGGTCGTGCTTCAGGTCGAGCTTCAGGTCGTGCTGCAGGTCATGTTTCATGTTCCAGGTCGTGTTCCAGGTCATGTTCCAGGTCGTGTTCCAGGTCGCGCTTCAGGTTGTGCTTCAGGTCGTGCTTCAGGTTGTGTTCCAGGTCGTGCTTCAGGTCGTGCTTCAGGTCGTGCTTCAGGTCGAGCTTCAGGTCGTGCTGCAGGTCATGTTTCGTGTTCCAGGTCGTGTTCCAGGTCATGTTCCAGGTCGTGTTCCAGGTCGTGCTTCAGGTTGTGCTTCAGGTCGTGCTTCAGGTTGTGTTCCAGGTCGTGCTTCAGGTCGTGCTTCAGGTCAGTTGAGGAGGTTTTAGGTCAAAAGTCGTCAGGATCAGAATCGTGTTGGAATCTTTAAAAACACAAACCCTGACCTGGAGCTTTGGAGGTGGGACCTGCAGGTCGTGACTTAAACTCAAGTCAGACTTGAGTCTCTGTTTTTTGGACTTGAGACTCGACTTGAACTTGAAGGTCCGTGACTCGGGACTTGAGGCCTGTGACTTGAGACGACTCGATGCTTCTCCTGTTTTAATCAAATATTTTTCTTTTTACAGTTGATAAATTTGGATCAGAATTTTACAGAAACAAACTGGAACATTTCCCCACACGTCTGTTTGTACTTTGGACGGACCTGAAGTACTGAGATACTCAAAAGTACTCAAAAGTACTACAGTAATATAGAACCAGGACTAAACCAGGACTAAACCAGGACTAAACCAGGACTAAACCAGGACTAACCAGGACTAAACCAGACATAAACCAGGACTAAACCAGGACTAAACCAGGACTAAACCAGGACTAAACCAGACATAAACCAGGACTAAACCAGGACTAAACCAGGACTAATCTTGAACTTGTTTGTATTTGATCCATCAGGAAACCGTACGACTCGACTCATTCCTCAGTTTACAGATATTTATTTTTTGCTCAGTTACAAACATGTTCAGATTTGTGTCTTTATCACGTGAATATTTCTGAAATCTTTTTTCCTCCGTACGGTTGCCTCGGCGACGGGGCTAGATTCATTAGACAGAAGTTTAGGTGTTACCACGGCGACGGCAGCTCCGGCGCCGCGTCCGACCGGAGGCGACGATCGAAACACAAACTGACGAAGGAAATGAAAAACCTTATCTACAGTCACAAGATGGCCGCCACGTGCTCCTCTAGAACTACAAAAAAACCAAACAAACACCTGCACTGAAGTCCAGACGCTCCACAGGTTCTTCAGGTTTAACTTTGAGGTTTTATTTTATTTATTTATTTTTTTTATTCCATGTTTTTTCATTTATTTATTTCTTTTATTTCAAATGTACAAAGTCAGAGATGATTGTGTGATTCTTCTTTCTTCTTTCTTCCAGAGGAAGTGTTCTGCTTCTGTCGTGTTCTAACGTTGTTCCAAAAACCTGCATGAAGGTTCTATGTGTGTTTGAGTCATCTAGTGATCTCTCCCGGGCTCTTTTCAAGCTCCCTTTACTGTTAGCCGCAGTACGAGCGTGTACGAGGCTCCGCCCACTCGACAATTCTCCAAAAATACACAAAAAAACGTGACGCCAAAACTGGACAAAGCTGACGTGATGTGGTCGCGCTCTGAAGGGGGAGTGAGTTAGCGCGGAGAGCAAAGGGGGCGGGACTCGAAAACCAAACTGAAACGAACCGAACGTGTGAATCTGTCGTTAGTTTGTTGTCGTTTTGGTCGAATCGAACTTTTTGAAAACGACAAAATGAACACGGCGACGCCCACAGAAGTATAATACTCCCTCCGGACTCAGCGTAAAAACCCGGGTGTAACCTTGTGATGTCACGGTGTGTGTGTACGTGGCCCCTCCTCTCTCGTGTGTCGGAGCCCAGAGCCTTACGAGCCTCAAGTGTTTTATTCTGAAAAGTCCAGTGTCTGTGCTTTTACTTTGACGTGTGTTTGTCCCGCGTGTGTCCGTGTCACATGACCTGCTTCTGTCACGAGATCTAATGATGATTTAAACTCTGTCAGTGCCTTAAACCGACTCCGACTCTTTGTTTGTTTGTTGTTTGTTGTTGTTTTTCTGCTGTTTTTGTTTTGACGCGTCTGATTCTTTTTTGAAATTCAGACGAGCCAATCAGAGCGTCCGGACCGAGCCGTAGCCCCGCCTCTTTCCACACCCCGGCCTCTGATTGGTCGAAGAACTGAAACGACAGAAGTGATTTTCATTTCAAAATCCTGACGGAAAAACCGAGCTTCATCTCACCTGCACTTCTCCTCCAACGACTAATCTGATCCCTCCATCCCTCCGTCCCTCCGTCCCTCCGTCCCTCCATCCCTCCATCCATCCTCCGTCCCTCCGTCCCTCCATCCCTCCTCCCTCCATCCCTCCATCCTCCGTCCCTCCATCCCTCCATCTCGTCCTCCATCCCTCCGTCCCTCCATCCCTCCGTCCCTCCATCCCTCCATCCCTCCATCCTCCTCCCTCCTCCATCCCTCCGTCCCTCCATCCCTCCGTCCCTCCATCCCTCCATCCCTCCATCCCTCCGTCCCTCCGTCCCTCATCCCTCCATCCCTCCATCCCTCTGTCTTCATCATCTCTCTCTCTCTTCTTCTTCATTTCCTCCTCCCTCGTTCTCTCCGCTTCAGTAGGAGATGAGTTTGTTCTCTAAATCTCTCTCTCTCCTTCCATCCCTCGCTCCATCTCTTTTTCAAGTGGCTCAGGGATGAATGTCACACCTTCCTCCTCCTTTTCTTTCTTTCTCTCTGTCTCAGGGATGGAGGGATATGACACCATCCTTCTCTCTCTCTCTCTCTCACTTTGAGGTATGGAGGGATTACACACTCCTCTCTGTCTTCTTCCTCCCCTTTTCTTTCTCTCTTCTCTCCTCCCCCTCCCTCCTCTCCCCCTCTTGTTTCTTTCTCTCTCTTGTCTCTCCTCTCCTCCTTCTCTCCCTCCCTCATTGTCTCTCTCTCTCTTTCAGGTAGTTAAAGGATGTGCTTCTCTCTCTCCGTTTTCCCTCTCTTCTCGCTCGTCTCTCCTCTCCTCCCCCTCTTCTTCCTCTCCTCTCTCTCTCTCTCAGGTTTCTAAAGGATAAGACTTCTCTCTTTCTCTCCTCTCTCTTCTCTCCTCCCTCTCTTCTTTCTCTCTCTTGTCTGACCTCTTATTTCTTTCTCTCTCTCTTCTCTCCCTCCCCCCTCATCCCTCTCTTTCTCTCTCAAGTATCTAAAGGATGTGCTTCTCTCTCTTCTCCTCCTCTCCTCTTCTTCTCTTTTCTCTCTCTCTGTTGTGTGGAGGTGTGTTGTTCTTCTTCTTTCTCTTGTTTCTTTCTCTCCGTCTCTTCGTCCTTCGCAGACTTGTTGCTCTGACAGGTTTTAATCAAAGTGTCTCGTCTCTCGTCTCTTTTTCTTCTTCTGCTTCATCGACTCGAGAATCTGAACCCCCCCCCCCCCCCCGCTCCACCTGGTGATGTCACCGTGTGCTCACACAGGAAGTGCTCCACTGTGTTTTTAAACTCCACACACCTTCACCAGAATCACCTGGATCTTTTCAGTCGGAGCTGAAGGACACGTCCTGGATCTGAGTTTTATTATTTTGAAAATATAAAAAAACAGAATTACTTCATTTGCCACGTTTCCATGAGAACTTTAACTCTGAATAAAAATAATTTAATGTCGAATAAAAAAAAAATTTGAATTCCAAATAAAAAATACAATTCCAAAAAAAAAAAAGAATAATAATAATGATCATTCCAAATTTAACAAAAAATATCTGAAATAAAAATTATTTAATTCCAAATAAAAATGATATAATTTTGAATAAAAATTAATTCCTTTAAAAAGTTAAAATTATTATTTTATTTTTATTTTTTTATTTACATGGAAACAAAAAGAGAAGATCTGAATCCAGAAGAGTCCAGACTTGTTCTTCGTCTCCTTCTTGATGAGTTTATTAGAGTTTTTCACGACTCACAGACCACAGCCAACAACTAGCATGCTAACACACACTTCCTGATTCTCAGACAATAAAACTCT